AGACATTAAAGAATTTGGCACGAACAAGTAACTGGGTAGTAGGACCAGTGAGAATAAGTAAATTACTTACTTTTACCAAAAGAACTGTCATATTGGAGTAAGTATTGTAGAAAGTTGAACACTGATAGAGTAATCCAAGTGCTTTCATCAGGCTCGGCATTCGAGAAATAATGGTTTTCTGAATGAAAGCAAACAATTAATATTTACAAACACGAAGTCATAATCTCAATAACTTGTGACTTTGATTTAGTATTGAATGAACGAGACTTACGAGATCCGCAGCACGCAGTGGAGAACAGAGTCTTTCTATCGTGCTAAGGTACTTGACATTTCCACTGGCTTCAGCATAGGCATACTTAATCTTCTTGTCCAGCTCCAGCCATGTCTAGAGAAACAATAGGAGCAAGTTGTGAGAATTAATCAAATGAATAAATCCTAAATATAGAAAACTTACCGGTATAATATTTGACTTTGCTTGAGTGAGCACCGCGATTACATTTTTGATGTCGGGCCTTCCCAATTCTTGCACTAGGGAGTTCATTCGTGTCATCTGATATTTCCAAAATCGGAATTCTCCATCGGGGCCTGTCTGGTCTTTTTCTACACGAATCAGCTCCACTGATTTAGCTTCCTAAAATTGTTTCACGAGAATAATTATATAAGGAATAGGAGCTTGAGTCAACTCTAGCCAGTCAAGAATGCTTACAGCGTCAATTTTTTTCATCCAAGCGCTTGCATTCTCTTCAAGCAGACTCAGTCCTTCTGGCGTCCTCGAAAGGGAGATGAGTCCTTCGATATCAGTAAAATGGGCTTGTTCGTGAAGCTGGTAAGGTGGTAGGGTTACGTGCTGTTGGGAGCAAGTTATAATAGCTAAAACGAGTGAATACGAAAAACAAATTGCATGAGCGGAAAAAATCTAGATTGACGCTCACAAAAGCAACTCGCAGGTAAAAGTTGGTCAAACAATGCAAGTAATCACAAAGTTAATGTGCGCAGAAGAAGCAGTTAAGTAATGTCCTTACTCTCTAGGCTGTTGAGGTAACTGGCCAGGAAATCACAATACTCCACGTGTTCTCGGGCAGTGAGTTGACGCAAGTTGGCCTTCTGCGCCTTGACTCCAGGAAAGACGTACTTCGCGAGGTAGTCGTGTATGGGCTGTACAAAACCAGCTGCCGGATCCAATTTGCATGAAAATGTTTCCTGTGTGTTGCAAGAAAATGCAATTAAAAGAATGTAGCAAATTAGGCCTTCGGTGAATAACTTCGAAACTTATTTTTTCTTAACACGATTAAGGGGTAGCAGAAAACCCACGATTCGGACTGGTTCCCGGTTTCACATTTCACCAGAACAATTTATCAGCATAATGTGTTCTATTTCCTACGCTTTATATAAGTCAATCCCGCCACTTGCATATTCACGACCTAACGAGGCAATCCATGCCATGTGTGAAAACCACAGGTGGTGGAATTCAGGCTTCCTTAACAAAGTTCTAGAACCGTATGGCAAGTCTACGCCTGGAAACATATGTATATGCAGCGGTGTGACACAGCGCTATGGATGGGTTAAACACTCAAGTTTTACAGGCATAACTGCCAAACCAATGCTTTGAAAGAGTGCTCGAAAATCAGGTTGCTTAAGTGGGAATAGAACAACTGGAGGAGGTCCGGAATGTTTATGAGAAATGCTTATTTTTGAAAACAGGGCCATCTACTCAGCAGTTTGTTTCCTCACCTTAAAGTAAAGCTGAATTTAGGCATGCATTAAATTTACACAAAATAATCACGTTCAACAACAGACTTTAAGTAAAATAACATCGTCACAGTGAGAGATGTTAATTTTATGCTTACTTGATTGAGATTACTACTGGTTATTTTTCCTTCGAAAAAGACACGCATAAGAACATAGGTCTCCGCCTTTAGCGGAAGTTGGCCATTGTGGAAAAAGTACCGCTTAGTTCCGCGAAGAGTTTTCTTCTGAATCCTGAAAGCTTCTTCTGTAAAAATGACAAAAACAGAATAAAGTCCTTGTTCAGAGGAAGCCTGTCAATGACAGAAAAATGTGCAATACAAGTGGAAAATTGTTGCAAAAACATGGACCTCTTGTGCTTATTTTGGTAACTCGGATTTGCAATCAAGGGTGCGACTGGACATGGCACGTCATTTTAGTTCCTGTGCAAACATCCTTGAGAAGAGAACCTGGAATTACGAGGCTGTGATTTAACAATCCTGTCGGTGCTGAATCTAAGGCTGTGCACTGCTTAAGTCGTTGATTTGATCACATCACAACCGGCAGTTAGAAAGGCGATTGGTCAGTACCAGTACAAAGACAGCCTTGTTTAGGACAACCAGTATAAAGTGTACCGGTTTCGAATTATGGTACACTACCATTAAATGATTTTCGGCAGATTATGTTTGAGAACAAGGAGGCCTGAGCCTTGTTGCTATATTCCCATTAGTTCGATTTTTTTGAAAATTTTAGCCAATATATATTTGGGTTTTTAATTTTGCATTTGATTCTATGGGGCCAGCAACCCCGACTTTTGACGTATATCGGCTATTCTACGTGCTGGCAATTGGCCATCTTACGGTCCCAATTCCGGCTCTGCTTAACCAGATTTCAAATCTGACCATATCAGTTCCGGACGACGCCAAATCTCCGGACGCCACTAAACTCTCCCGTCGACGACCAATCGCCTGCGACACTCCGCTTTTATCAGCCCAAATCTCTCTCTTCTTTTGGAATCTAGTCTCATCACGCACTTCTACCACATTTTAACCTGGCCGCATCTTTCGAATTTTAATGATTGTCCGGCAAAAATTCTTGCTCCATTTTGCCTCGTGCTTCTCAGCTCTCAACCAGACCAAAAGGCCTCAACGATCTTACGATCTGGCCTCAAGCACAGCTATGCATCTCAAATGACTTACGACGACGCACAATGATTTCAAGCGTTTCAGTTATCTCCAGGCTACGAAAATCCTCCTCGTTTCAACATTCGATTACACAAAACAAACGACCGACTTTTCAGTACGACTCACTCCGATGGCCGCATCACAATCCCACAAAACCCATGGCCTACCCTGTTGGAAGAAAAGGTTAGCTAGATTCTTTTGCTGGAGAAGAGAGCTGTGGTGGAGTCGCCTCAATCCAAGATCGTTATTCTGGTCGCTGCATTCGCCGATACATTGCACCCCTCGTCACAGCATGCTGTCAGCCGAGCGGAGCCTAGTTCACACCTCATAGGTGCAAACGATTATTCTGGATTATCGCTACGTGTGATAATATTTACCTAGGTTTCGTGGTTCGAGACCACATGCCGGGGCCCACAACAGGGTCATGGCAGTTTTAAACTAGCTGATTTGTTAACTTCATTAAAATCTGGATTCCCAGTAGGTGACTCTTGAGGATGCCAGCAACGGCAGTGTCAATTTTGTTAAATATAAAAGCAGAAAGTGCTTATAATAAGATATATTCTTAAACCCCGAATCCCGAAAAATGCCAATGCTTTCACAGTTGATAATTTATTGCCTGGGAATCTCTTCGTCCACTTAGTGTCTGTGGTGCGAAAGGATGAATATCCACTATCGCGGACGTGCCGACAACTTAGTTTGCAAAATGGATTTGAAACTATTAAAGTGTTAGAACATTTCTGCACTTAATTCCTCCATTAAAATAATACGGAAGCAACCAGATTAGACAATTTATCCCGCCAATCTGTGAATTATTAATGCGTCTAAATATTTTTCAAAGGAGTGTAATGAGGATGAGGAGGTTTTCTCGATGCTTTCTAATCAAACACAATGTACGGCAGCAAATAACAATTAATTCACTTAACATATTTCGAAAGTGAAAACTGCACCAGGAACCAAAATCTATATTACGTTATGCTCTCTTCTTAATTTTAATAAATTAGTCCGTTTTGGGGCTACGAGAGCGCGAAAATTACTACCAAGCTTGAGTGAACACTATTTCGGTTGTCTCGAATGCATTTCACGTAACTATGTTCATCAGGACATCGACATCAAGCGTTTCTATAAAAACGAGGCCTTTTTCGCGTTGGCTATATGCTTTCTTAATGACAAAATTAACGGCTGAACACCTGTCGTTCCTGTCTAACCTCTTCTTTGGGTACTTCAAGCGTTGTCTAGCCCCAACAATCTCTTGGACAGTTGCTTCGGCAAACTAGGTAACATTGAAATTGTGGCCATTTGAAAATAGCTCTGCAAACTTTGCATGCTGTCGGTTATGCCGCAGACTTTTCAACTTTTTTGAGTCCGCAGAAATCCCCTTCAAACAACTCGAATGACACCTTACTACAATGACTTACTAGCAGTACTTTGCACGTTAAAGTTCTGATCAGCATAGGTGATCATCAGAACACTTGCTCCATTCGCCTCGAAGAAAACGTTCAGGGCCTCTAATTGTCCGGCATCGAGAAGCCACTCCGAAGCAGTCTGTGCATCGATGCCAAACCCCCCCTCAAGCCGATTCAGAATGGTCATATGACGATCATCGATTTGGGCCCGTCGGTTCTCTCTTAATTCTCTAATCCGTTCCTGTGGATAAATTTAATTGACAGTAAGCGAAATCTCTCACATTCCTTGCCTTTCATATTCCGTATTTTATTTAATTTGAGCACACTTACACGGAAAATAAGCTGGATATACTTTATCATATACCCACATAATCCCTCTTATTGATAGTAATTGCGATTTCACGGCTGACTCAAAAATTTAGTTCTTAGTGACGTAAATGTGTATAGTTGTTACTTCAAATCGACTGTTACATTTTGGATCGAGAGTTATCATAGCTGAATCGCATGACTGTAAAGTCGCCGTTATGCTAGAATGTCGACTTGGAAGATTCTGCTCCCATCATTTTAAAATTTCGAGTTTTAGTATTTCCAAGAAATTTTAAGGAAACGCCAAGATCAGAATCTGTAAATTTAACAACAGTAGTACCCTTGTGGGTTAATGTAGCTCGAAATAAGATGACACTACAATTTAGTACACATGAAATAGCTCAGCTTGAATGATCAAGTGGAGTACCAGTAGCAGTGTGGAATGCAGCCGATGTCATAACCAGAAGGTAGAAAATTTAATTAGCAGCGCATGACATTTATTTTCCGCAATTAATCTGGCCCAATTTTCAAGTCTGTTTGAAAGAGTAGGAAAGTACTGAAGTGGTAGGTTTTAAATTCCTAAATGGGACATCAAGCCACCTTGCCGTTTTCCCTTGTCAGGCAATAATTGTACACTTAATTAACTCATGCGTATAATCAGTTTTACAGCTGAACCTTGCAACACGATGTGCCAATCGACGCGATCGCGGTCTATTCTGCAGTCTACGGCTGGAAATTCTGGCAGTTCTCAACTTGGAGACCAACGACCGATTGAAAGATCACAGCATATTGGTATAAAAGCATAGGCCGGATGTCAGCATCGCTGGTTTCCGGATAACGTATGTTAAGTTGGTAGCTTATAAGCACGATAACCCAGGTGCGCAGCTAATTCCCCAATTGTTTTTTATCAATTGCCGTCAATCCACCTTCGGCATTATAAACACATTCCACTAACACTTCTAATATTGACATTCGATTCTATTCAGCAGGTTAGTAAATAAACAAGTTCTCCTGACCACTATAGCAAGAAATTTGGTGCTCCTTAAAGGCAAGAGGTACTACTCATGTGATTGCATTAAAAGCTCAGATTAAACTCAACAGCCTCGCTTGGATGTCGAAAACCGGTCTATCGTTTAAATAAGTCATCGAGCACTGGTTAAAAAGCTTTACATTTGCAAGGCCTCGATGTAATATCGGGTTATTATACTATTGTCTACTTCTATAAGATCGTGTCCCAAAAACTAAGTTTGGTAACTACCGACTATCCGTTCCCTCAAATGGTAAATACGAGTTGTTTAAAAGAAAAGGACATGTGGAATTAAGTGCATTGAATCCTACCTGCTTTAGTTTTATATCTTCGTCTGTCAACATCTCGTCGGGACAATAAGGCCGGACTTAAAAATCCCAACCCGGACGTTGTGTAGTGCTATATAGGGTTTATTGCGGCCCCACTAAACCAGTTCAAGACACAGTTGTTTTGTGTACTAGCAGAAGTGGCTGACAAAAATATCGATTTCTCCTAGTTTTGAATGGTGTGTCACACTGAGCGGGTGCCCAACGAAACGAACGGTAAATTCCGCAGGATGACTACTTTTGTCCAACTTTTGCCAAGGAAAGTCTAGAAGGATTTTCGTGCTGTACAGATAGCCTCAATAGTTTTTAAAAAATAGCGAGTTTAATGATCTAATGACCTCCAACTCATAATTTTAGGTACATTTGTGGGTGTTCATTAACACAAGGGTTGAAGGAAAGGGGCAGCATCTTGGCCTTGGGAAAACGATAGAACCGCGATTCGTAATGAAGCACGATTAATGACTGATGAAGGAGGCGTACAGGTGGTGTACATGTGCACCATTTGAGTTTTTCAAGGGGAAGATAAGGCAAGCTCAATAACCAATGCGAGGAATCACTCGGATGGTGTTTTCCTTTTCGAAGCAGGAGCATGTAAATTGGACACATTTCGGGGCTGCTAAAAATGAAAATAATCAGGTGTAAAGTCCGGAGATTTCATTTTTTGAAGAGACAACAATTGCCATCCCAGTGTGAACAGGCAAATTGGGTAGCTCAGACAACTGAAATTCAGATCAAGCTGCTAATCAGACGGCGGGGGTAATTAGTTAAAACCCGAAATAACAGCAAACCCAGATATTGGGAAACAAAACGGAAACTTAAGATACCGCGACAAATAATTAACAGGAATTTATGTTAAAATATATAACGAGTTAAATATGGATAAAATAAGAATTGGAACCTTCATCTACCTTTTTGATTTCGGTTGCATCCTCTACGACTGAGTGATCAGATATCTGCAACAAATTCTTTTGCAAGTTCATTGCTGCGTTCATCTACAGGGAGTATAACAAACAAAAGAGTAATCTGACTGAACAGGTTTGTCATGTGTACGTAATTAAAGGCCGCTTAGTCTCTGAGAGTGCGAACTAGTATAATCAAGCACAAAACCCTGTGGAAAATACAGTGCTTGTAAGCGAGGTGCCAAATTACAGACAAAACTACTCCGATATCAAAATCAGTTAATTAGTCACTTTGACTAACCTAAAATCTACCTCAAGAGAACTTGATTACACGGTGAATCCTAACCGAGACAGGTGTCCTGACTAAATAACTAACAACGAGGTTTAACCCTTGGTTCGTCAGATAGATGGGTTTCGCTTTGACAAAAAGGACAAAATCTAGGCACAACTATAGTAAAAAATAAAAGGCATGTCCTTGTTGATCATCAAGTAGGAAGTTTCTTATGATGTCTTTACCTTATCCGAGAGTAACTTGAGCATTTCGGGGGAGTCATATTGCTCGGGGTTGTCGAGAAAACGAATGGTACCATTCCTTTGGTCAATCTTTACAAATATTGACTTTGAGGCAATCTAGAAAGTGAGATGGCTCCTGGTTAGTTGATTTTATGGATAATGTGGTCTGACGCGTGAGCGTTATACATTCACAGCCATACCATTTCAAGCAGGTGACGTTCTGCCTCCTTGGGACCACTTAAGTGAACTCTTGCAGCCAAATCTTTCAGGGATAATGACATAAAAGTCTAGAAAAACAATTGAACTTTAATTTGCATTAAAAATGAACTCAGAGAGCATTGCCAGTATGACAAAATCATTTGAAACGAAGTTAAAATAAAAAGCGAAGTTTACTGCCAGGTAATATTAAACTTGTTTGCACCGCTGAAATAACGTGAACGCTGAACTCATCTCTAATTACAAAGAATTTGTAACAGTTTTGTAGGGTTCAGGAAGTTTGTCTTGAAGCTATTTCCTGGCAATGCGTGTATAGTTAAGGGCGGCCAAAGGACCCACATGAAGAATGTGGCTTTGTCTCTCTGCGGTGATGTCAATTTATTCAAACCCATTCACGTCCGTCCCAAATACTATGATTAAGTCACAAAAAGGGAGGTTTACCTCACTGATGAAGTCGTAAATTTTTAAGATTTGTAGACATGCGTGCCTGGCAAATAGGGCGGAACATTACAAACATGACATTTGAGCAAGAAGCCATAAAAACACAATAAATCAGGATGTTTGGGTGATTAAGCATTAGTACACTAGTGGTGAAAGTTTTGCTTGATGTGTATAAGGTGCATTATCATCACTGCAAGTATTCACTAAGTGCAAAATAGTAATTCTGGTAAACCTACGAGAACTCACCTTTGTCAAGTTTTGAATTCTGCTTTTTATGTGATAATCGAAGAGCTGCTTCACAAGACCGTAGTTCTTATCCTGCAAAATAATTACAGTATCGTTACAAGCAATCAACGTAAGGCGTGAGAATATAAACGTGCGTTTACCGGGACATAAGAAAAATGTCGCGTTAACGAAAGAATTATCCAGCAACTAACGCGACAGCTGTTACGAGACGTCAAAGCTGACAGACTAACTTAATAATTACTTAAGACAGATGTCAATGAGCCGAGGAAATGGTTTTCCACCTTTAATCAAGATGACTTGACACTTGCTGAGAAAATAAATAACAGTGATAAATAGCCAATTGACAAAATCGCACAAGCACGTTTTTTGACGCGCTACTTAATAAGAATTGTTAATAAAAACATTTACCAGGACGAATGTCGCCATATTTTCTTCGACTACCCGTGCAAGGACAGTCGGGTCTGGTTCAGCAAACGCATCGGCCAGTTTCTTGTAAACGTCAAGGGCAAACTACAATAAAAGTAGGCAAACTTTCAGGTTCAACACAAAGCGACTTGGCTCATGAATGACTCAAAGATGTTTCCGTTCTAATACAAAAACCACTGCACAATACATGAGAATACAAACGGCAAGGAGGAGGAAAATTTGGAAAAATATTAAGAAAAAAGTGGGAAAGATAGAGACTCACTTTCAACCTACGGAATACGGAATTGTTCGAAGTATTAAGCTGATGCAGAAAAAAAAGCAGAAAACGAATTACAAATGTTGCGCTAGTATAACGCAAATAACATATGAGGTGAAATCCAATTGCAAGCGAAGGCATTAATTGGGGTTGCCTTTGTAGGTCTGCTAAAAGCTTGCTTGTACAAAAAAATTCCATAAAAAAGGTTGCACATAAAATGTTAAATGACAGAGAGCGATTAAATAAAAATCGCAGAGCTAACTTTTGAATACAGCATCAACATTTAGATTACGACGTTCAAAAATATTTATAACAAAACAATCCAATTACAAAGTAGTACGAAATTGAGCACATACATGGCCATTATGGATAAGTGAAACAATGATATACTTCTTTGCAGCTTCCAAGATAATTGGGTAACAAGACGGAGAGGGCAGCATAAGAGCCTAGAGGAGGTAATGACAGCATTCAGATCTTACGATACTAAAGAAGTGCAGGCTCCGATCCCACTTTTTTAAAGTTGCATATACCATCCCACCATAATAAAAATACAAAAGGCCATCTTTGCTGTCAAATGATTGTTTCTAAAAAAAATAGTTAAGAAGGCAAGAGCGTACATCAGCGTCGGCATCCAAAACATCGGTATTTAGTATGGGGAGTAGGGGGTTAAAGCATTTTGCAGAAAGTCCAAGCTGAGAGTAAATTATTGAAGATGAACAACTTACTTGGCACAAGTTAACGTGAAGGGAAGTCAGATGTGCAGGAGAATCCTGCACTTTTCTAATAGCCATCAATATGATAGGAATACCCGACATCGGCATGGACTGAGCTATCAGCTTAGACGTTAAGTGCTCACAAAGTTCACGGACTACGGAGGTGGTCAAATTGAAATGAAGGAAAAACCTAGTGGTTTGACAGCACGTAGATGTTCTGGGTTACAATTCTCAAATAAATTGCGTGTTTGCATGAGAATAAGTGAGTCGATTGATTGAGCTGCTATTATTTTTGCCCGCCTGAAAAATTAAATATTCTGAAACTTACATAATAGCAGCATGAACACATGTCCAACGTTTGAGTTCAAAACGATCTAACAGTAGGCTCAGAGAGGCTATATTTTTTGCTATAAAGTCTGAATTTCGTTCAAGCACTTTCGTGAGCTCCGTTACATTATCTAGAACAAGGTTATTTATGTAAATACTAACCACCAGCCTTCTCAAGAGCTGAAACAAAATTTTCCAAGGCACCAGCCATCGCGAGAAATCTTGTGAGTACTAAGGCTAGAATGTGTTCATAATTGGCTACACGGCGAAAGACGGCACCCAACAGCAGCCGTATTATATTATAACAAAATTGACGCAAACAATGAGTAGCTTGATGGGTCTTTCACAAAATCAAAAACCTTCATAACATAAACTAAAATAATCGAAACAGATTTTCTTGTTTATCTTAAAAGTTTTGCTAAATTGATGTTCCTTTTGTTAGTCATTTAGTTCCCTTGAACATCCTGTCATAGTTAATGGATACTCCACGAAATTTCACTTGCGTTAGCAAAATTATTGGCATCCTAGGTAGCGTTAGTGATTAGGACTTCGATTTGATCCTAACCGGTAGAATTAAAATGTTATAATGAGACTTTAAAAGGCAGCAGTGTATGCGCTAAATGATAAAACTGGCTCCTTTATATTGAGGCAATTATTATAATCCTTCTGAGCAATATATGTATATATTGTTATTAATAAATAAAATCACCTATGTAAATGAAAACTTAATATATCGTAATATAGGATCTAGTATTAAACACTTGTGATATCTCTTTCAGAATATTGTTTGGTATGAATGTAGAAATAATAGTTTGAGTTTTGCACTTAGTAAATGAACAGATCTCTGGACTAATTTTGTGCAGAGCAATTTGATAGCGAATTGATCTATTATCATTTTTAATGCTAGATTTCTTTATATTCACATAAAAAGCTTCCTATATAATGTTTTGAAAATGATTATAATTTAAGACCTTTTACTGGAGGCTGCCAACTGTTTACTTTGAATTGTTTTGCTTTATTTCTTTACAAGACGATTGCATTTAATACGACCGAATTGTGAAATTTTCTTATACCCCACAATAGTAAGTATAAAGTTTAGTTGAAGAATGGCAAATAAAAAGCTTAACAACTATTTTAGTTCTCAAGCAAAATGAGATATACACTTTGTATGTGGTGGTTTACATTTTGTGGGATGTACGTACCGCTAATACGCGTTCGTACTTCAAGGTTCGCGTATACCGAGCGATTTTTCTGTTGCCAACCAAGATTACATAAGAAATTGGGCAATTTATTAGTACCATCAACATAATACAAGAATGCCTGATAGCCTACGCTACGCATTGGGGGGACTTACAGGTGACCAGTCAGGGTAAACGAAAACTCAATTTTAGTTTTGCCTCATCTAATTGGCACCCATACTCGGTTTGCCTAGCTAGCCCCACACCATCAGAAACAAAACTGGTACCAATGCACACTTCACGAATATGAGGAATAGAGGTCACGCAAGGTGAATATCGACGACACCCGCATATAACTACTACATAAACTCACAAATCAAGTAGAAATGTAAGGGAACAATTATGCGGATTCTATCAAGCAGAATAAAGCTCAGCTGTCATACCTACAATAGATTTTCCTTAGCTACAATCCAAGCAGGCTTCACCCGGTATAATAGGGATATAGTAGCAATACATAAATTACTTTTAGAAAAGTACAAGGGGTAAATATACTTAGAGAAAACAAGGGTCTGGTAACTATTAACAAGGACTCATAGAGCACACGCATAGAAAGCAACAAATTGTATAGTTTTCGTTAGTGAGCATTTGGCATGCAGGATAATGCGGTTTAGTTCTGGTCATCCTCAGCCATGTTGCCATGAACCCGGAGACGGTAGATACACGTGTATGCCGGGTGGCCATGGTTACTGTTGACCGCAAGCTCAATAAACCGTGTTGGTTGGCCGTTCGGACGAGGCTGCATTAGAGACGAAATGAAATAAACTCAAAATCATAAAATTTAAGCAAATCGACATAAAAATCGTCAAAAAACTGAAAAGTTTATGTCAAAAGACCCCTTAATGCGAGATGAAATTAATTTGAAATTAAAACGAAGTCTCTACGATGGACAGTCAAATTAGAGAAAGCAAAAACCTAGCGCAGAGCTACACTTAAATAAACTGAAAATGTTGACTAATGGTGAAATCGACCAAGAATTATATTTACAATAAAAAATGTGGTATTCAACGCTATAAATCGTTTTGCAACAAAATATTTAGCACGTTGTGTCAGAATGAAACGCAGTCAGATGTTCTGCCATTAAAAAAGTCGGCATCCTTCAATACAAAATGAGTTTTAATTAGCCTATAGCTGATTTCCATAATGATGAGTTTTTTATACTAGACTGGCGGGAAGGCAGTTTCGAAGTAAGCAGCACTGGCCCGGAGATCTGAAAGCCCAAATGTCCGCAGTTATCTTTTCCTGATTTACGGCCTCAAATAATGACTTTGTGCAACACTCTGACTGCATATTTATCATTCTGTTACCATATTTTAAATAAACAGTTATGAAAGAAATTTAAAAGCAAAGTAACATAATAGTGTCCCAAAACAGCAACGTTTAGGATAAAAAAAGTCATGTTCACTACAACGTGTGTGTATGTGGACAACCTAGAACCTACCTTGATTGGAAAGTATTGTACTGGCTTGGCGTTTATGTCATAGACAAAAGAACCCAGGACTTCACCGTCCTCAGCAAACTCGGATTCCAAAGACTAAACAAATGAAAAACAAGCAATCAGCACAAGTCCATGCACTAGTAGGCTATGTCGGTCCACCAACTTTAATGACAAACTCGCGAGGTGCCGAGTCAATGCGTCCTGACAGCGCAACCAACTTGGAAACATGCTCCAGTGAGACTCCAGTAACATGGACACGTGCTGCCAGGCGAATGATCGCTTGGCCTTGGCTGCCATGAAAACACCAACACTCGCCAAGGTGTGTGTTCGGTTGAAGCATTGCACTGAAGATAGGAAACGATGTAATAGACTTGAAAAAGGGATGCATAAACTGCAACAGCACAGAGTGTACAGAGTTGTATACCACAGAAGTGATTTCATTTGGGTTCCGTTGGAAGCTTCGAACCTAATTAAACACGGACTACAAAGGACTAGTTTTACTCCTGTTGAACCACCGTATTCGGGATTGATGTGCACCCACTTCTAAAATGGGCAACTAAGCATAATCTCCGTCGTCACATACTAATTTGGCAAAACTGAGTGCTCAATGAGTCAAATTCTCCACCCGATTATATCAACAAAAAAGAGGTGATAATTACTTGGGCGAGCGTGACCAATGAGCGAGGGTAATGCCGAAGAAGCTAATTGCTGACTTGACACTGTCGTAGGTTCGGGTGCAGCGAGTGGACACTACTGTCCCCCCAGCGGATTCGAGCGCGAAATCAGCTTTGCCAGTCCTGTCCGCCGCAAAAACATCAAGGGCTGAATCGATATTTGCAAATGCGTGGATTGAAAGGTCACTCGTTCGAGAGTGTGTGGCATCTACAGAGGACAGTAACAAGACCATTATGCCGTCATGTGCATGGCGGCAATGTCCCTCACCGATACCATATGTGAGAAACAATACCGTTAGCATGACTGTGAAAAACTCACAGCAAGTGTCGGCAGTTGAACGTGGAGCAATGGTGATAATAAAGACGGAATTTCACATTAAAGCCATACCTGACTCACCTAGATACACTTCTTTCAGTCTTTCATCAACAGTGTCCTTAATGAGGTTGATTAACTTTAATTTCAGATCCGAACTAGAATCCGTAGTCTGTGTTAATTCCTCAGTAATTTTCTGGAAGAAGCAAATACGGAAAATAAAGTAAATATACGAGCCAAGGGGGTAAAAATATCCACGGAGAAACCGTTTACTTGTTTGAGGTCAAGGGAGATTTTTTCAGCAAATATCTTTTTCAGTTCCTCAATGACCTGGTCAACGGGATATCTAGAGGTTGATTGCTGAGAGGACTCATCAGCACGCACAGAAGCCAAGTCTGCATAGAGGAGAGAAAGGACATGTAAAAAAAACAGATAAATGGCGCAAGGCAAGTCAGCACATGATGGAACCTCAAGTTCATATCAATTAAGGCCTTTCCCAGACCTCGGCGTCAATTTAAAGACTCAGGTTATCGGGTAAAGCAAATTAAGTTCACACTATTTCATATTTCAAAATGTCTTTTCCAACATACAACTAGCGCTACGTAATACTAGACATGTAAATTGTTATGGCAATGCAATGCATGATATACAAACATGCTGTTCCCATTATTCTGATGCAAGTGCGTTTTGTACAGCCTCGGCAACATTAATTACGTGGGTAGATTACTACGTTTCGCCACAACACTGAAACGAAGTACACCAATAGAACAATAAAAAAATCCAGGCGCTTACCGCCAGACAGTTTCTTGACGGCAGCATCTAACCCGTCAGTAAGACGTTCAATGGAACCCACTCTGTTAGAAATCTTCTCCAAGTCGGCAACCAACCGCTTCCCCAGGGTTTCTGTTTCAGCCCGCGATTCAGCCGAAGCAGAGACGATGTCACCACGGATTTTTGCATTCAGTGCATCGAGTTTTTTGGCTTCGCCAGTTTTGTAACCTTCTAACTCGCGTTTTAGTGTCGTTAGCTGTGAACGTAAACGATCACGTGTTGGATTAGATTTCAACCCACTGACCTGACTCGTGCCGAGAAAAGGGTTTGTATTTACAAATACTGGTTCCAGAACACAACAATGACTAAGTTTAAAGGGATGGGTGAGGGTAAAAATTATCCGCGCAATTGCATTATTATATAATCAAGTTTAGACGGATCACCCCAACCAAAAGGCAGGTACATGAGTTGGATAATTATCAGAGTAATTACCATGGCATATCAGCTCATCACAAACAAGGCTGTGCGGAGATTCTAATGGAGGGGGTGTGTTGGGCTCTTATGGGTCAGTCAGTACTTGGCTTGGCACATATTTTCGTGCAACTGCTCGGGCACGAAAACAGTATCCACAGGAAACCCTGTAATGATTTATTGATCGAAACCGACATTTAATACGTTCAAGTAGTCGAGAAAAATTAAAATAAGTTAGATTTAGACATTACAAAAAGTCAGAATCTCTCACCGAAGTACTCGCAAAAAATGACAATGCTCTTTGTCGCCGAAATCTCCAATAAATAAAGCATACTCATTAGATTATAGTGAAAACTCGGAGAAGGAAATGTCGATACGAGGTAAAACGCAGCTTCGAAGTGTAATGATCGAATTTTACTAACCTGGGTTTCCAAGTCAGTCTTCTGTGCCATCACAAGTCCTCTTAACTCCTCCAGCGTTTTGGCAAATCTTTCGATTTTCGCCGTCTGCTGGTCCTCGAGCGGTGGGGATGAGTCGGCAGCCGACCCTGCAATAGTCGCCTCCAACTGCCTCTTAAACTCCGCTAGGCGAGCATCAAGTGAAACAGTTGACACAAATGTCGCCTGTTTGATCAGCTGATCAATCAGCTGCTTTTGCCGTTGATCATCGTCTTCGGGGGCTCTATTGGCAATCAGATCAATCTGCTTTTTAAGGGAGGCGACAACAGCTTGGAGTTGGCTGACATCAGAGCCAAACTTCTCGTACTCCCTAGTGCGAGAGGCCAGACGCTCCTGGTTAGCTTGCTTCAATTCCAACACCTGTCTGAAACACAAAAGCATACGTGCAATCCAATTTGCTGGCACGCTTACATGTACAAAAGGAAAGGTGATGAGCATGACTTTTGCACACAATGTTTATTAGCGATACACACCGCTAATAAAGTGAACCGCATAGAAGAATGTTTAAAATGATCGGCTCAATTTGACATTGACTGAAAAACGAACTCACCTGTCTAGATTACTCATTCCACTGTCAATTGTCCTAAGCTTTGCCAACAGGTCATCAATGTTTGACAATTTTGGCTCTGAATCTGGACGAGAATCTGTTTGAAAAATGTAAACCCCAAATGAATTGATAAATACCCCAAGGTTATGCAAGTAGACAATGTGTGGCTAGAGAACCTTTTACCATAAACTGGCAGGTCAGAGAACCAAAGGTAGAAGGTGAGGATTTGAGCACAAAGACCTCGTGAAGGTTAGACAAGTTGAATGACCATTAACTGCAGTGTTGCTACCGGGTTTCGGTTGTCTAAGGGCAGCATAGGCAGGGCGGGGCTTTTTGATAGGAAGTGAATTTTCAAGTGTCGAGTGGGTTCGCATGTTTGGTACATTTATAGCCCGCACTGACGTCACCAGATCAACTCACCCTTGAAGAAATGGAGTGAAGGATAAAATATTCCTGAAACAGCATTTTTCAGCCAATCCCACCAGAAAGAAAACTTCGCACTTAAAGAGGCTGTTGTTGGTTTTAAAATATCCTGGGACAAACAGTTCCAACGAAGAGCAAATGTGTCCGAAGGAGATTGGGGTGAAACTTCGCTACCTACTTGGTAACGGCTACACTCAGCGTCAGAGGGAAGTAAACCGAAGAGGAAACGGTTTTCGTCAAGTGCTGGGTCTTGCTCTACAAAAGGCTTCAGTGCTAAAGGCTTTGGTCAAGAAAAAAATCTCAAAAGAAATGGCTAGTACATGTACACTAAACAAATCCAATAATTTGCTTATAAGAGCAATTCGATGGCTCTGAATGAGGGAAAACACCCGATGCGTTTTTATGGGTGAAGAAGAACACCAAGAATTTTGATTTAGTGTGAGCAAAGCAGTACTTGTTTTCCCCAAGTTTGATGTTGGCCGGAATTGGTGGATGTAGTTCAGAGCACTTATGTTCTTTTCCGAAGACAAGCACACGGAAGTTGGACACATCAAAACACTACTCGCACGTTCGAAATGGGGGCAAAACCGCCTACCACAAAGTCGGTCTACTTTCTGCTCACTAAGTAGATAATACAGGATTTTATATTTCGACTTACCCGATTGTCGAAACAGGAATCCAGCAAGTAACACAGTCAACAAAAGAGGTGTGATAAGAAGCAGACAGCATAATTTTCCTCTTGTACAAAAGGCCAGATAATCAGCTTTATGTGAACGGTGCTCATGGTGAACGCTATGTCTACAACAGAAAACGGCGCATTACCTTTTGCAATCAAGCATCTAAGTACATATTAGTCCGGTAATGCAAGAAAGCTTCGTAAGAAAAACTTATGGCACACACCAATAAGAACAACCAATCTAACAATACATGTCTTAAGGAAGGTATTCAAAATATACCTCTACGGTTCACTGGGGTCGGAAAGCAGCGGAAGTTAAACGGGCTGCAGTTGACCCCTTAAAGCAAATTACAAGGACGTGTCACCTTAAACGACACTGAATACTATGTTGGGAAGACAATGTATCATAATAGAAAAAATGACCCTAGATGTGCGACGCCTTCGACCGCATGAGATCGTTCAGCTCTTAGTCATAGCTAGTTATATAAAGAACATCATCGCCTATAGATCCCAGTTTCAAATATGTCAAACTAAAACTCGTGCTTTTGTTTCATTTGCTTGCTTATCACTTACACGTTAAACCGTCCAGGTGAAAATAAACAAGACCGAAAAGAACTCACACAAAATGGTCGCCCGAACCAGAATAAAATCTTCCACTGTAACCCGGAGAAGTTCCCGTGTTGATATCATTCTTTCTGAGAACGGCAGCACACAATCTAGACAGGATATTCGTCCCACTCCTCCAAACAGCCTTGGTAGCAAGAGAAAGGTAGTGAATGAGCACTAGTGGGACGGCAATAAGATTCAGGATAAACGAATAGAGGGAACGCTTTTTGGGGAAGGGCGGAATGTGCGAGGAAGGGGAGGTTGACGAGCTCAAGGGTTGGGGTAGCACAGTGTCCCCGGAAGTTGATGGACGAAAATCAGTGGATTCAGCCGTGAGTCCTAAATTAACGCAGTGAAAAAAGTTAATGCGATGCAACAACTGTGTACTCCAAGGTCTCAAAAAGGTTTCACTTCTGGATTAATCACTTTTGGCGTATGAGAGCATAAGCCACGCTAGTACTAAGGTTGCGCGAGAAACGTACAGCAGAACCGATGACCTTAATTCTCGAATGTTAGTCGATCTTTGTAGTAAGAAATACTAACGTCAACAGGACCACACGGTGACGAAATTCAAAATCTACGGAAGCCTAATTTTTCCGCACCCCCACAGTAGAAAGCTGAATTCAAGATGGAGAAATAAAAGCATAGTAAGCTTACCCATCATGCTTGATATGTGCCACGGGCTGCCTGCGAAAATCCGCGCACTACAAATAAGCGAGAGTATAAGGCATTTTTTGCACATAATAGAAGTGGAAGGCTGGCAATTAGTGGTTGAGTCCAGAAACATTTTTATCCCAAAGAAAAGGGTGAGGGCTTCTGAGGAGGTTAACAGTTAACCATCTAGCAACCGGTGCTCACTAGGGTACATGGGCCCAAAGGCGTGCAAAAATGAAAAGTAATCCGAGCGACACTCCAAATTGAACCATAGAGGAAATAAGGGCCCTAAGTGACGTAGCCGTTAAAAAAACCGATAACATTGACCCGAGGTGGGACAGACGAAATTATATGGAATGAAAACTAAGGAATAAGTGGGCGTCATAAAAGCACACCTTAAGAATCTGCTTGAAATCTGACACAGCATTCCTGAAACTGTCCAGAATTTGTGTGTTGCAAAGAAAATCTACCTTCAAAAGGCGAAACATGCTCAACCCCCGCAAAGTGAGACCTCAAAATCCCTAAGACACATTTGATCGCGATTCGATCGGGGCTGTTTAGCTGGATCTAAAGAACCGACTGGTACACATGTCGGTGGTAGTTTTGAAATGGTCTACGCACTGTGCTTATGCATTTGATGCTTTCGCA